TCCACCCTCTGAAGGCTTCCTTTTTTTGTTTAACATGTAGAGGGGAATCCTTTTTTTCCCATTTTTTCAAAGGGTCAAGAGTGGAGGCAGGATGGAAGCAATGCCAGTAACTGTGCTTGGAGCTCTATAAAGCGATTGAGATAACTTCCCATTCCAGCAGCAGAAGTCCACCGATTCTTCATCAAGCCTTGCTCTGAGCTCCATCCCTTACACCCAGGTGTCTCGCCAGTTGCAACGTCACAAAGTCAGAGAGAAATGGCAGTTTCTAGTGCGTTCCAACTTGTACCTTAACCAGAGTATGTTTTCTTCCTCCTCAGAACACTTTCAGCCACAGCAAATCGTCAAGTCATTAGTGCCTTCGTGGAACACGCTGGTTTTCTTTGAAGTGTCTCCAGTCTCTTTCCACCAGGCAAGGAGCTGTCTTTTGTTTGTTTTTTGATTCTCAATTGTTGTGGTTATTCATTCTGCGTGTTGTTACAGTCCTGATGGGGAGGGAGAAGGGAAAGGGAGAACAAGCATGGGTAGAACAGATACTCTGCGAAGTGTTGCATGTTACAGGCAGGACTTCAAGGAGGAAGAGAACTGACAAAGCCAACTTTAAACTATCAGTCAAGCTTGGTCATCCTGGAGGAAGAAAAATTTCCATTTCTACTTTGTGTTGCTCTCCTGGCAAGCCACCGCTGTGGATTTGGCTGTGGTGATGAGAGAGACTTTTGTTTGCTGCTTGTTTTAAACTAGCTCACATTTTTCATGCAGCTCCAGAAGAGCTCCTCGGCACATCACCTCGCCAACAGGGCACTGTGCAGATACGGCTGCACGGCCTCGGTAACATAGGCGTAGTGGGGTGCCCTACTGTAGAACTGCCAATACGGTTAAGTCACGCTTTGTGGCACTTGTCGGGAAGATGCCTGGCAACAGGATAAATAAATAGTCCGTGGAACTGCATGATACAAACACCTGGCCGAGATCTGAAACTGCAGTGTGCCTGAGAATACCGCAGGCTGTAACATGCTGCTCAACCTTGTTCCAGGTGTCGGAAGTTCTGTCTCGGGAGAAGTGCCGCTTGTCAGTGAGCGGCTGGTTTCACGGTCCATCAATAGTCAGACCTGCACGCTACCATGACTCTCCCTTGCCCAGGAGCCCACACATTCCCTGCGATGTGAGTAACAAGCCGACACCTGCTTGTCTGCGTTTCTATTTCTTTCATGTCCCTGGAACACCTGTTACCGGACACACTGATGCTTGAGGATGCTTTAATCTTTAACTTATCCCATTCTCTTTTTTTTTTGTTTCCTGTCCATAAATTCATAGCTGGTTTCTTTCTTGTATCTCTTTCTTCACTCTGTACATTTTGCATACCTACGATAGTGCAGAGAACGCAGCAAGTACTGGTGGTGCGATGAAATGAAGAAGGGAATGGAGTGTGTGTGTGGGGAGGAGTCCAACCCTGTGGCCAGCTGGGTATGGGGGAAGTGGGGAATCCTTTTTACTTTTGCAAATTCAGCATTCAAATCCATTTACCTTCCAGCATGAAATCTTGTATGAGTGGATCAATCTAGTTTATTTGGACATGGATTCCCAAGCTCAAATCCAGGAGGAATTTGAGGAGCGATCAGAAATTCTCCTGAAAGATTTTCTCAAGGTGAGTGCAGTGGTTCAATGGATGTGTTCTGCCAGAAGAGGTCACAGGGCTGGCAGGTACCACACGTCATGCAGGCAGGGAAGGGGCTCATTTGTACAGGAACCACTCTTTGGTTTCACTCCCTAAAGGGGAATGGACCCGGTGACCTCAAGAGGTGCCATCCAACCTCAACCATTCTGTGATTTTGTGGACAGATCCCCTCTGCCTGCCAGTGCGCTGCTGCACAGGGACTCGTCAAAAATCACAAAATTTCCTTCAACATTCTCATTTCCTGTAAGCAGCAAAGCAGAAGGATGGAAATGCACGTCATCCCGCTTCCTAGCGTTGTGGTGACCAGAGTGCCCTTGCCTGTCTCTCAGCCTCTCGCAGCACTTGGGAAACTCAACCGGTGTGTGAAACACATGACCCGTGACAGTTTTGGTCTTACATGTAAGGCTTTGCTTTTCAAGGCTGATTTACCTCTGGTTTACTGGGCATCCGTGTCTCAGTGAAACTGCGTTCTCACCGGCAGATAATCCAACTAACATTTGATACCTGTTGGTCGCTGGCACTGAAAAGACACCATGCCTGCCCAGGCTATGCCCCTCAATTCAGCAGTCTTCAGGAGCCTCAAACAAGTCAGGAAAAAAAAAATTAGAGTGCCTTATCTGAGAGCAGAGGACTGCTGCTTCTAGCACACAAGGGAGCCCTGGAGGCTAAACGTTAAAGTTTCTGCACTATCTTTCTCTCCTAGAAAGAGAAATACCAACTACTGTGTGAAGCTCTGGAGAGCAAAGCCATCCAGTGGAGTAGCCGGGGGCCTGCCAATAAGAGGTGAGGAATGCCAGTGTCCTGCACTTACTGATCGGGGGGAGCGGGAGCTGCCATGAGGCTGCACCGCCTGATGCCGCCCCCACAGACATGGTTCTCCAGCAAGGAGATCTATCTGCTCATACCTCTGCTGTCTTTCAGGCTCTATGAGACAGCGGAGGAAGACAGCCTCCCTGACGTCCTGAAGAAGTTCCTGCATTTCTTACGCTCTGAGGCCTTGTTTTTACTGCTGTCCAACTTCACTGGCCTGAAGCTGCACTTCCTGGCTCCCTCTGATGAGGATGAAGATGCTGGGGAAGGAAGAGCAGATGACACTGCTGGGCACAGTGGTCCCAAACCTGAGCAGGAAGAGGCCGAACAACACGCTGAGAGCAGTCCCCATCAGCCAGACCAGCCTGACAACATCCCTGAAGCACAAGACAGCGAGAAGCAGAATGGTAAGTTGAGTAGCCGCAGTGTGAAAGGAACTGAGTAGAATCCTGACATTAAGGATGTCAGCAGCAGAATTCCAGTGATTTTCACAGAACTAGGACTTCACCTTGTACTGCAGCCAGCACAAACATGGGACTTGATGCATGTCAGATTGAGTATCAAGCGACCATTGCAAAAGAATTTGGAATAATATACTGACTAACTTGAAGATGCTGTTTTGAACAGACCCAAGTCTTAAGGGTGGGACTTGTAGGAGTTAAGGCGTGGCGGGGGGTGTCTGTTAATTGCCTGATAGGCTTTTGCCAACAGTGACATGGTTTCTACATCAACATACTCCTGCTTCAATTAAAGTAGATTCTTGTATGAAACACCAAATCAAAAGGAAGAAAGTGAACAGATCACAAGTAAAGGTAATTTTAGAATTAGAAAAGCGATCCCTGAAAATAGCCTAAATAACTGCTTCGTTGTCAGCAATGAGATATCATTGCTATAAAATATTAATTTTGGATTCATGGATTGGTGCTGTTTATTTAAAATGGTGGCTTTGAAGATAAGGGTAGAATTGTTGAAAATGCCCTTCTTGCACTCAGACAAGTTAGTAGATGCTGGAATAAAAGGTAATCAAAACCCAAGTCGTACCGAAAATCCCACTGGAATACTTTTCTGGTCCAAAGGCTTTGTTTTTCTGATTTGCCTCTTCTGTCTGCCACGTTTCTGCTGTGTGATTTTAAATTCACGTGTGAGGAGGGCATAGTTTGGGGCTGCACGGATTGAAAACTGAGCTAGAGCCATGAGAAAAGAAAGGCTCCCCCAAATTCTGACATACCTCCTGGGACGGCACATGGAGAGTGAGTTCAGAGCAATACCCGCCTTCACTGAAATTTCGGTGTACTTCCAGAGCAGATAGGTTGCTGGCTGTTGAAGTTCAGAGCTCTACTGTCAATCCAGGGCAGGGACAATAAGACAAAAAAGGAAGATTTGGGTAAACCAAAGCACATCACAGCCTTATTGTTTTCCCTGGCTTGTCTGTTCCCTCTCTGAGACTCAGGTACCCCTGTGTGCGCAGGGGAGCTGAGGCGCTGGACCCACAGGCACTACACTCTGGTCCACGACACTCAGGCAACCGAATTTGCCCTCGACCTGCTCTTCTTCTGCGGCTGCGAGGGTAAGTGGATAAAAGAGAGCTGTCAGACTCTCCCGACAAGGTTGGTATCAAGGAAGGACTTCCTAACCCTCAGCAGTGCTACAATAGCCAAAACCTCCAAGCTTTTTCCTACATAGAAAGGCTCTGTACACTTTATCCTCGTCCTCACTTCTGTGTAAGCCCCGGGTTCAGTAGTCCTCACACAAAGGTTTAGGCACAGCTTTGTCCTTTCCGGCCGGAGCCAGGAGGTGGCGCTTGGGTCGAGGGAAAGGCTGTGCCTGTCCCCAGAACGCTACTCGCTGAGCGGGGACACGGTGGGCGGCCAGGAGGCCAGAATCCCTGCCGGAAGGGTTGCGTTTTGCCCGCTTTTCTCATCACAATTATCACTGCATCTCCAATTCACAAAGCCCGGGGTTTTCAGAGGTTACTTTAGGCGTGCCTAGGCATTTTAGGGTGGTTGCTAGTTAAACTGGTGAAAACAAAACTCTAAACATTAGTATTTGGGACTAGCTGAGCCCAGAACACATGGCTGAAACCCCCGGCAGATGTTGGTAATTCTACTGAAAGCCTTTTGCATATCTGCTAAGGCAAAACTGTTCTACACTTGAGCAGAAAAGGCAAATCCAGTACATTTGTTTCAAGTTATTCCTGAACAGAAGGAAAAAAAAAAACCAAACCTGGCAGGAGGTAAAGCAGGGATTGTCCTGTATCCAGGGACTGTGGGGTGGAAAACTGGCATCTCCAGGAAGGCTGCATGGAGCCTGGGCAGTGCTGAACTTCCTAAGGAGCTTTCTTTTCTCTTTTAAGACTGGGATCCAGAATATGGTGGCTTTACTTCCTACATCGCTAAAGGTGAAGACGAGGAGGTAAGGACCTCAGTTGCTAGCTGCAAATTAGATAATATCGCTGTGGGTGGAGAGGCGTAATTAGACTTTGTTGTAACACTGGTGTAATCCTAAGGGTGCTCGGTAGTGCACTGGAGCCTTCCTGCCTGAATTACCGCTTTACCGCAGAGCTTAGGCCAGGGACACTGACAGTGCCCGCTGCCACCTGTGCCTGGTGGCATTTGGGAAGGAAGCCCCGGAGGGGCACAAGGCTGTAGCAGGGGTGACGCTTTCCCAGGGAAGCCCTGTTTGCTGCGGCCACGTTCAGTATCAGTGCTAGCGAGAGGGCTGAGCGGTCGTGCTAATAACAAGTCCCGAATCCCTTGCTGCTTAATAAAAGCATCAGGTTGAGGGGTATTAAAGTGGAACTAGGGACATAGTTCATTTTCCAACCCCAGACCTTTGTTCTGACTAGCTTTTGAAACTGGTTTGTTTGTTTCTTCCTAGGAACAACATCAAAGCCTTTTTTTGTGAAACTAATTTCCTCCCTTATTTTCCTGTCTTCCAGCTGTTGACAGTGAATCCAGAGGACAACTGCTTGGCCTTAGTTTATAGGGACAAAGAAACCATGAAGTTTGTGAAATACATCAATCACCATAGCTTGGCACGCCTGAAAAAGCATCCAAACAGAACAGGATTTTGGGATTTTTCCTTTGTCTATTACGAGTGATGGTGTGTGACCATCATCACACAGAAAACAGTGGGGGGGGGCAGGTTCCTACCCAGGCACCATTGCTGCTGGTAACTCCATCACCCAGCGTCGCACGACTGTCAGCTTTCCAGCTGTTCTCTCATGCATCTCTAACCTAATTACAATTGTACATTGACTGATTTTATTTAAAAAAAAAAAAAAAAAGGAAGCGGGTCAGTTAAATGTTTCAAAGTCTGGTTGGGCAAGTTTTGTTACAAAATGCCCAAGACATTTTCTTGGGCTTAACTATGTTCCCTGGTTGTAGAGGCAAAAATAAAGGAGGTGCCATGGGAAATACGAGGTTTTTCCAGCTGCACAACTCTGTGGAGTTGGGAAGGAGGACAGTGAGGCTACAAAGCTGCTGGTGCTGACGAGGACTTGGCCCTGAAACAAGGAGCAGGACTATGCTAAATGCTGTGTCGACAGACCCAGATGCAGCCCCTTCTCCAAAGAATTTACCAGCTAAACGGACAAGAGACCTGCTCCTGCATCCCTCTGTGCTTGCGTGGGTGCCTGGATGGCTCTGAGAAAGGGTTGTGGCTCCAGCGGTGGGCTGGGAGCAGGAAGGCAGGAACTCACCTCTCCCTGGCTTGTTATCCACTGACAGCGCAGCCTCACATCCTCTCAGTTTTGTCCTGTGGGCTGCCATGCTCCAGCACAGCTTTTGGCACCGGAGAGCAGCTCCGATCTCTCCAGGCAGCAGATAACCAGCTCCTGTGGTAACCAGCACAAGAAACGTGGTGGTCGTGGTGCAGTACTTTCCCTTGGTGCACATTTTCGGCACCGCGAGCAGGACTGTGGCAGGCTGAGGTGTCCAGCCCACCAAGAGGTGCTGTTGCAGAGCCGTGCTGGTTGCTCCAGGAGTCTGAACACCGCCCTGCACAACACCACACCGCCCTGCACAAGGCTTGGCCCTAGCCTGCACGTGCTCACCTAAACCTCTTTTTTGGCAGCAAGGGGACGCAGGTGTACTTTCAGCTCATCCAAGCCAGACAAGGCAGGCCGTGGATTTGCAGTGAGCCGTTGCACGTCATCCTTCCTGCATTGGGAGAGGGCAGCTTTGGGTTAGTCTGCTGCTTCTCCAGGTCCAGGCCTGCTGGTGAAGACCACCGCAGTGGTGTAAGAGCATCGCGGGCAGCAGAGGAGCAGCAAGCTCAAAGCAGAGCTGGCACACGAGTACTCCGCACCTCTCTCAGCTGCGAGATCTACGCTATCTTGTTCATCCTGTGACCTGTCCACCTCAGCTGGCTTCTCTGTGCGCTGCCCAGACTTTCCTGCTTGGTTCTAATCTTCCTTCACTACTGTTTTATGCTACTTACAGAGAGAGAGGGATGAAGCTGGAAACCAATCCAAGTGAGGACAGGACTCCCGTCTTCGTGAATCACTGGTTTCTGGGCAGCAGCTGTTCTTGGGGTGAAAGAAGTTCTTCTGGGCTGCTCCAGTAGAAAGAGACCAGTAACGGAGTTTTCAAAGGAAAAAGAAAATAAAGCAGCAGCAAAATTGTTTGGGTGGTTTGGAACAAAGGTGACAGATACCACAGCTGTTCACAGCATAGTCAGCTAGGCAAAGTTGGGAGTAAATTAATTAACAAAACAAAGTTACTTATTCTACTGCAGCACGGAGCTCAGAGCGTGCTGGGTAGATCCTGAACAGCCCCCAGAAGAGGGAAG